TCGTGTACTTTCCGGTGGGAAAACAAAGGGTGGAGGAGTCTGCTTCTACACCAACAACGCCTGGTGCTCCGACGTGACAGTGATCTACTAATTTTTTCTTTGTTTTCAAGAAAATGTTTTATGTACATTCAAATCTGTACCAATTAAGTTTAAGAAATGACTTCAAATTTACATTGTCAAGTACTTTTGATATTATTAGCCTTGGATATTGAAGAAATTCTAGTCAGGAATTTTATAATATGAAAAAGTCTTCCATGTTGAACAAGTTCCCATGCCAATCCACACTGCTGTCCATTTTTCTTTTTCAGAAAATTTAAGTCAGTAGTTTATGTTGTTCATCCTAATCAACGAGAAGTAAACATTTTCAGGACGGCCACACTCTAAGAAAAAGGTATGTTAATGCAAAGTCATTTTGGAATAGATCTTTGGTACATCATTCCAAAAGGGGTATGGGGTTAATGGTCTAAATGATAAATAAAATATTGAACAATAAAGAATAAATTTTGTAGGTTACTGCAAAGGTTTTAATTCTTTTCTAATATGGTACTTTCTTTTCCATCAGCAGCCTGCAAAGTCTGGATTTTGGGTGACAATTACATCCGACATGGGGAACAGCGAGCAAGGAACACCATGGGGACCAATCTTGGTGTGTCTGCCCATATCCAGTGGTTTGGCAGGGGAGGCATGTGTTGGGATGGCCTACTTTTGTTCTTCAACAGTGCCTTAGAGGGAGAAATGCTCATGATTCACTGTGGGGGCAATGATCTCTGACGTGTAAAAGGGTGCAGCTTCTCAAAGGAATGAAGGGGGACTTGAATTACGTTCACCAACAGTTTCCTGTGATGATTTTATTTTCTACAATTAATCAAAGGCACCTCTGGAGGTAGATGTCAGTAAATGATATTATAGATGTAAAATACTATAATAGTACAAATACATGAACGTTAGTTTGTGCTTGTTGAGAGCTTTGTTTGTGCACACTTCTGCTAATTAAAGACATGCAATGTAGGGCATTTGTGCTCTTTACAATGTTCATTATAGACCAATCTGTGTTCTTTAATTGGCTCAATTAAACAGCATTAAACAAGGCAGATTGTGCAATTAGCAGGTGCAATTGGATCTGGCCAAAATAATCTGAGTCTTACAGCCATGTTGTTTATCTGTCTTTCTTCTCATGAAATTTAACACGAGAATGAATCATTTCCTTTATGGTTGGTGTGATTGGCATTGTATATCGCAGCTGTCTCATATGCAATGAGTAGATGATATAGGCTGTAAAAAGGTATGCATTTGACACATTATTGTTTTCTAAAAAGTAGCCTGGTCCATTTCATAAGGTCCACATAGCTTTCTTACCTGTGGTCTTATTCAATATGTGTATGGTACATTCAGTGCTGTCCTAAGCGATTTTTGAGGAGAAATCTATTGTCAGATGTTTATGAAGCCTTGAAAAAAACAACTATCTGCTGAATCAGGGGTGATAGTTGAGTTGAGGTCAAGAGATGTAAATACAATTTTCTAAAGATATTTGCTACACTTCCCTCTCCACCTACGTGCATGTTCAATCACAATAAGTTCAGAAAGACTTGTTTTGAACAGTTGGACAATCATGACTGTATAAGCCTATAAATTGCTGATCTGCTGATTTCTTTATAGACTAGGACAATGCAGAGACGATCTTTGAGGAACAAAACCAGGAGATCATCACTGGAGGACCGGAACTGATCATCGAGTGGATCATCCAGAGTGCTCCACTGATTTAGATCCAGCACCCAGTAGCTCACTGCAGGAAAACGTAAGCCCAAGTATTGCATTTTTATAGACCCAGTCTGTGATATACAGTGTGCAACTTGTGTTGTATGGAGATTAATTTGTGTCAAAATGTTCAAACAATACTTTTTAAAGTTTTAACAAAAATTGATCAATCCATTATAGAATTGGAACAAAAAAAATTAAATTCAAACCTCACAAACTCGTGAAGTCTATGAGGCCACAGAGATGGGGTTTCAGAGACTATGATTGTGTTGTTGTAAACAACAAATGTAAATCCATTTCCAAATCTAACTGCGATGATGTTAGCAGTCATATTCGGCAGTCGACAAGCTGGCATGGATCTGAAGACTACTGTTAAATCAAGATGCAGACCAGTTGTTAAGTGACGAGTCAGATTCCCCTGTTGCCCTTGCCATCCAAGCATCTCTTGAGGACTCTGAAGTACACTTTGGACCCGTTTCTGGTGATGATGTTGATAATCAAGACTCAACCCTTCCCTGGAATCCATATGACTTCAAGAGTATGCAGGTATAGTGTAGAAGTGAGTTATTTCTAACAGTGCTGCAAAAAAATATTACTGCCATTATTGATTCTTTTACAGAGTTTTCCCTATTTATTATTCTGTCTATAAAATGTTGTCATCCCAAGTTGTCATGATCTGTGCTTTGTGGAATCCACTTCCTGTTTTATTTTGAAGATCCTGTTTTCCCTGTGTTGCTGTTACTTTTACTTCCGGTCTTTGTTCTTTTTCCCGCCTTAGTTAATTACTCCATTGGCTTCACCTGTGTCTTGTCCCCTTCTCTATTTAACCCCTCCTCGCTAGCTCTTCCCTGCCAGATTGTCTTTGTCACTTTAGTACAAGCTCTCTCGCGTTTTTTGATATATCTCTGCTCTCTGTGTATGACCTGTTTTGATCGCCCTGGATTTCTGATTCTTGCCTGCCCCACTGGTTTTGTCGCCTGATTATTTGCTGCTCTGATTTTGACCCTGCCGGGTGTTTTTGTTGGAATAAAAGAGTTTGCCTTTTTGGAAACTGAACAACTGCCTCACGTCCTCTGCTTTTGGGTCCACACACTCTCGGCCTCTCACACAAGTTCTTTCACACCAAGATGATGTTTTCAGATAACTTTTTCATCCAAACATTACAAAACAAAAGATATTCCATGCATTGTGATATAAAACAGAAAAGCAGCAAATCTAGAAACACAGCACAATTCATTTCTGCAGGCTAATTGATATATTGATTGTCAAAGTCATTGATTCATTTTCTGTTCACCAATTGATTAATCGATCAATAATCACACCAAATTACCTTTTTTAAAAATCTTGCAGCACTCTACACTGAATGACGGACCTGTATCATCAAGCAGTCTTCCAGCATCTCCAGACTCATTTGATGAAGAACTTGTTTTTGTGAAAGTAAGACGAGTAAACATAGTTGATGATGTCCTTAATATCTTCATGGAACCAAAACTACTTAATGCTGATCTAAAAATAGAGTTTACAAATGAGAAAGCTGTGGACAGTGATGGTGTGTCAAGAGAGGTGTACTCTGCGTTCTGGGAAAATTTCTTGGAACAGTGTGAGGGAGAAGATGAACGAGTACCCAGACTACGACCGGACTATTCTGAGAAGGCATGGCAAGCTCTTGGACGAGTGTGGTTGAAAGGCTACCTGGACCACAAAATCATACCAATCAGACTATCATCAGCTTTTGTTCTTGTCTGTTGTCAAGGACTTGGTTTAGTGGATGAAGAACTCTTGATGATGTCATTTGCCAGATTCCTTTCAGAGAATGAGCGTGCATCACTTGAAAAAGCACTACAGGGCAATATTGATGAAAATGTTGAAGAGGACTTGACGTGTTCTCTAGAACGGGCTCACACTGCCTGCCTCCCAAAGACAATATGCGGGCTGCCATTTTAACAATGGCACACAAAGCTCTTCTTCAAGAGCCAAAGTTCATAATTGACTGTTTCCACTCCAGTATTCACAATGCTGTGCCAACTCTCAAAACCAAAGAAAGCATAATGGAGCTTTACGAATCCAAGCGGCCAACTAACAAGAAAGTGGCCCAGATGAAAAAGCCATCAACTGAAAGCCTAAACCCACAAGAGCAGACTGCTCTTAACCACCTGCTACGGTATGTGAGAAGCATCGACCAAAGAAAACTGGAGACCTTATTACGCTTCTGCACAGGGTCCAGAATGGCTGTGCACAGACACCAGGGTTTTTCCTGCGTTCAAAATTGCGTGGCGGCCGCCTCCACCTAATTTTGTGCCGCCCCCGGCCAGAGCGATTGATTTCGCTCAACACAGCGTAAAGCTCCAGCTGTGTTGATTGAGCGATTGATGTCCCGATGCAGCAGCAACGTATTTTAACTGCAGTTGCAGCGTTGCGCCACTATAGAGGCGCTATATCAACAGCAGTGCACCGGAGAGACCTGAAGCATCTACTGAAGAAGAAACGGATCGAATCATGTTTTTTCAAGTTTTTTTCCCGCTAGTTGGTGCTATCGGCATCCTGATTTTCCCTGGCGGATGGTACAAACAGGTAAATACTGCTTCTCTTTTTTGCATCCAAGCATGTCGTGTTTATTTAAAAAAAAAAAAGTTTACTCCGTTTTTAGCGTTGCAGTTATGACAGGCAAAATCAGCCAGTACTTTAAAAAGCGACCTCGTGAGGAGGAAAGTCAAGAGTCCAGGTGAAACACAGCAGAGAAAAAAACGTAACAGGCAGTTAAAATGCTATAATTCATGTTGGTGACAACGTTGAAATTTGTGTCAGGTCTGAAAGTACTTCACAAGGGACTGGTGATCGCGAGGGTCAGAATGCAGGACAGGACGAGTCGGCGAGGCGAGGGTAATTAATTAATTAGTTTCCAATTAGGAGCATAACAAAGCAAAGCCGACGTGTACGTGGTTTTTATTCCTCTTTCCAGATCTTCTCAAAAACACAGAGCCAGTGGCTTTGACAAGCAGTGGCTCAATCAATTTACCTGGCTCAGGCATACTGAGGAAGGCATGCACTGCTGTTTATGCCAAAAGCACTGTGCCCCAACACAGCAGGCAATTGCTGCCTCCTTAGTGAGACAGCCATCATCCAACTACAGGCTGGACACATTAAAAAGACATGAGGTGACAGCCATTCACAAAGCAGCAGAAGAGAAGGAAAAATATATCAAAGATGGTAGTACCTAAAAAAACTTAACTAATAAAGTTACAAAAAATAAATAACATAGTTTAGATAGTTTAAGAAATAATTGGTTGTCGTTTTTTTTTTTAGGGAGGACACTGCAGCGTATACATATATATGATTGAAAACACTATCACTCTTCATGTCTGTATCAGAATAAAAACAAAAATACTTAATGCATGATGAATTGTTTTGTTTAAGGTGAAGACACCTCTGCGGAACAGACTGAAGGAGAGGCACTTGGATGTCTGTTGTAAGGTGGCCGTTGATGGACCAGACCAGGAGGCCTTGGACTACAAGGAGTGCATGAGGAGGTTCTACAGAATGAAAAAGAGGAGGCTGAAATGTTCTGTCTGGTTGCGAGATGTGTGGATGAAGTGTTCTTTCAATTTAAAGTTGCCAGCTGATTTGTGTATGTATATAGTTTTAATAAATGAATGCTTTACCATAATAATGGTCACACTCTTTTTTTGAACTCTTAACTTAAAGTATGTTGCCTGTAAAAGAAAGTGAATCGGTTGAATTTACAAATACATGCACGTCGTGGCGCATGGTCAGGATGGTGCCACCTCTGCCTCAATTTGAGCCAGGAAAAACCCTGGACACAATCTAAGTAACTTTTAATAAATTGTATGGTTTAAGTCGCAGGCCTGTAGCACACATGTGGAGCAGTTCTTGAGTTACCATGCACCTACAGGTGCTGGCGATTGCTTTACAATGGATATTGTGTAGTGAATGTAAGGGATCTTACACATGTTCCTCTTCTACTGACACTGTTATGGCATTTGTCTGAAACAAATTGTTTCTACAGATGTACATTTTTTTACACTGTAAAACAACTTTATTTGTTCATTCATGTACTACAACTAAAAAAAATTGTACTACAAGGAGAGGAGATGAAATCAGATGCATAATCTGATGACATTGCTTTATTACTCTTAAAAAGGAAACAGTTTTGACATTTTTTTCTTAATTTTTTTTCCTATTGTTATGATTTTGCTGTAATATTTGTCAGCACAATGAGTTTTACTTTTTGCTCAAGTCCAGAAGACACTTTAAGTTTAATCATTTTGATTAAAGTCATCAAGGTCTGCTCTCATAGGTGAACATCCCTTTTTTCAGGCATGTATCATTTTCACATTATCATGTGCATGTTTTATGCAATTGTTATTAAGAAAGAAGTTCAGCATTCAACAAAATAATACCTGTTCAATACACACAGAGTACCAAATAAAATGGCTACCCATGGCTGTTTTTGTTGGAGCCTCATATGGTAAACATAAAGACAGTAACTGTCAAGAGCACAATATTGTGGAATAATAATGTAATTCCTCTTTCATGTTCTGCCTTGTTGTTTTTCTTTGTTTTCCGTTCATGGCTAATGTAAAGGCAAAGTAATGAACATCTATGACAATACTCCTATAAACTGTACAACAAATGTAAGTCTCTATTTACAGTGCAAATTACAGATAAGAGCTAATACCCTGTCATTTGAATAATGTATAGTTCTGTGCTTAATTGAATCAGTCTCGGATTACCCAAAGAGACAAAAGCAACTCAGACAGCCTTGATCCATCCATGACAGGCAAAACTAATTTGCCAAGTACCTTGAAAAACTGTGCAATAACGTTGCAGAAGTTCTTACTGTCTGTAACAGTCAGTGTGCACATAGTGACAGATCAATCTTTTTTTCCAAGGAGAACTAATTCCAAATTCCAAATATAGCTTCTATAGAGTTCCTGGAAAATGTTTACAAATGAGAATGTTTGGTGAATAAAGCATGGTGGACTGCAGAATCATTGTCTGATCACGTGTTCAGTTTAGATGGATACAAATGTTGTTCCATCTCAAATTAGAGAGCGGCTCTCATCTCATTCCTCAAATGCAGGTACAAATCCAATGCTTGATAAGCATCAGCTGGAAAATGCAGCTGTGACTCCACCATCAGAATGTTGCAGATGTTGTAGATGTCTGTGTCACATGGCAATGCTAGTCGAAATGTGCAGTTACTCTGACACAACTGTACATCAGCTCTGTCCACTGTGGAAATGTGGTCATCACTTGTGTAGAGTTCTGGGAACATGTACATGATTCGAGGTCGACCACTGGGTACCCAGTCATTCTTCGATGGTCTGATGACGTGTGAATCCCACACCTGGATGGTCTCATCTAATTCGTCCTGGAAAAAAATATATATTAAAAAGTAAGAAAACAAGTGTGTTGATATGCAATTTGTTATTCTTATGTGGGCCTTAGATAAGTTTTGAAATAAATCATCTTATATCGAAGATATAAAATATAAAAATACAAAATATCGAAGAGCAGAGAGATGGATGCACAGCCGTTGCTATTATTTCATGCTCCGTCTGATAGAGTTTGTCCACTATATATTATTTATTATTTCTATTATTAATTAGTATCTTATTAAATGCTAAAGTGTTTTGGCACGGCTGACTGAGTGGCGCTATCCGTGGTACTGTGGTGAGACGCCTCCTCCTCTTGTTTTATTTTGGCTGGACTTCCTGTGTTTCTTTGTTTGACTGGTCTGGCTTGACTCTTTTCCAGAGCTCCCTCCCCTCCCCCAGTCGCTGAGGCTGAGTGAGACTACACACCTGCTCTACATCTGCAATCAAGGCACTTCAAGAAGCCAGCAGCCCTCAGTCTCAGCACCTGAGTATTGTCTTCACTCCCAAGTGGTACAGACGCGACTCCTGGCCTCCTCTTTGAATTAGTACTCGTAACTCTGCTCCGTGTGATTCATTGCATATCTACTCACCTCCCTCTCCTCTATTTTCCTTACAGTGTCTCCAGCCCACACAACAGCCAGCCAGCCTACCGGACTTCCTATTTTGCCTCTAACCTGAGTTTTGGACATTAAAACTATTTCTTAAGTTTATATCTGCCTCTGTGTCTGCTTCTGGGTCCTCAAAACACACCAGCTCGCCACAGGTACTTCTTTTTTGTTTTGCATGTTCGCATCATGTGAAATTGAGAGCGGTGAAGACGCCTGAAGACGAAATGAGAAGCTATCAGAAAGAATAAAAACACTTTTTGGATTAATTGAATTAAGAGAAATATTAGTTTATCATAGTTTATTATCGAGAAAAATAGCAGTTCAGAGTAAGCAAATTTAATTAATAATGAAGAAGCTGTGGCGTGTCTGCACTCATTCAGAGCAGGAAAAACATCACATTTAACACAGAGAAGGTTGTTGATCCTGCTCTCTGTTATGCAATAGTTTATTTACGTACATTTCTGGTAACCTAATCTAAAAAATGCATTAGGCCTATTGTTGTGCTATGATGTGACGGTCTGGCGGACCGGTGCTCGGCACCCCCATGCTCATATACCCGTTAGAGCCATTTTCGCGTTTCATTGTGAATTATATTGTACACCACATAGATGACAATGATTAAGACAGATGGACAGATGCTCATTGAAGAATGTAACAACAACAACACCAACAAAAAACATTTGTGGGGCTTAATTTAAGATGAAAGCAGATTTTGCACAACGATATGACACATTTGTAGCTTACCTGAATGATTCCTATGAAGCAGAACTGAATCAGACTTCTGTCCAAATATGCACCATCGAACAAGCCACGGTCCTTCAGATCATTAAACAGAGAGATGTAGAGTTCCATTGAATCCCTTCTGAGGAAACCCCACCAACTCGGAGCTGTTGTGAATGTTGCGGAGAAAACGCTGAAGGTCTCTGACTTTAACATTCTCTGTGCCCCGGTCGCCTCTGACAATCATTGGACAACCACCCAATCTCCTGACTGCCTCCATGTAATAGCCGCCAATGACTTTTGGGTTACTGCTGGTTGTAAATGCATTCATCCAGATAATTGTGCGTGAAAACCCGTCAATGCAGCCATCGATACAGATACCAAATGGCTTCTGTTTGTCATAAGAGTTGAAGTGCCAAATATAATTGGGCCCTTTTGCAAAATAGCTTCAACGGTGGAGCCGTCTTCTTCCTCTGAGTTCAACACCCCTCGGGTCAAGTTCTTTTAGAATTAACCCGTTGCGCCCGACGGTCCCTCTCCCGGGCCGAGATTTTGCTGCATATATTTAAACGCTGTAAAAAAATGTATTGAAACTTGACCGCGGTGTTTACTTTCAATTCTCAATCAAAGTTTAGACTCTAATGTTCACAGAACTGGGTCGGATGTCTGTTTTAGTGTAAACGTTACCTTTTTATGACGATTTTAATCTGTCTTGGTGTCTCTGTCTGGACATTTAAATTTTGCGACATCGACCGAATCAAAGCTTTACAGTGTAGCGGAGACAGGCTCCGTCCGGCCATGTCTGTAGTCATTTGAAAGGGGAGAACCTACTGAATCGATTGGCATCAATCTTTCCAAAGACTACATTTCCCAGCTTTGAAAAAAGCCGGGCGTAAAGTGTTCGTAATCTGTGCGCTTTTAGGTGCAGCGCCCCACAGACGAAGGCAGGATGCTGCATCGCACACTGATCAGTCGGGACTCTCCTGTAAACTTTCTACACCACTTATAAAACTTCTCTTGAGTACTTTTCAACCAGGAAAAGAAACATTCAACTCTTAGAGGGATATGGCGGACATTTTATTAGAAATTCAGCGGGGCTCAGACGGTGAATCTGAGGACTCGTCTGACTCAGTAATGGCGTCGGCTCCGAGGAGGAGGCATTGTTTACATCAGAAGTGGACCCAGTTTACTAGTAAGTATTTGCATTTATCTATAAAGCCGTGTTGTGTAAATTGATATGCATGGAACACCTTTGTCATAAAACTGTAAACACTGTAGTAAGTATGGCAATCCAATAGCATCGAATATTACTGCAGTTTCACTACATCTGTTTATTTTGGGCTTACTTTGCTTGCAGATACTGCATTTTATCTGTCTTTGAATATATGCTTTATGAGAAAAATAAATGAAGTACATATAAATGCAAACAAAATATAGTAGAGCTACTCAATTTAGTGAATAAGTTTACATATATCCACAACTTTTGTGTCCTTCAGTGAAATGTACAAATGTTATTTATTTTTGTTCTGCATAGTAATTGATCACCATTTTCACAGCCACCAAGAAGAGGGGAGTGAGGCACATCCACCCTCCCCCCATCAGGGGTTTTCACACCCTCAGTACTCCCTGCACCAGACGCCCCACCCCCACCCTTACCTGCAAGAAAGGTGACATTGCTTGTATCAAGGTTTGTGTACTGATCATTTGTTTGTTTCTGGTCTCTAAAAGAAATAATGCACTCTTTACTGCTTCAATTATGCATTTATATGTATTCATTACATTTAATTTACTCTACCTGTGTTTGCTGTATTTTATATTGTTATATATTGTTTTTAATTTACAATATTTGTTGCACTTTTACTTTTTATTTTACATTGTTTGCTCAGAATGTTTGTTTGTTTCTCTTTTTGCACTTTTTTCAAATAAAGATACTCCCTGTGAAGAAAGAAATGTAGAGGTTCCTGTTATTTTTCACTATTCTCTATTACATATAAACAAATATATTGTGCAGAATGGTAGAAATTGATGAGGCAAAAGGTAAATTTCATATCTAAAAGCTCCAATAGGTAGTAGGAGACTAGTCTTATGGAAATAAATTGTAATTTGGAGCCAGTTCTCATCAGAGGTAGAAAATAATCCATTTGGCACATTTTGGCACAAAGTGTGCCAAATTGTGCCAAACTGAGTCCTCGCCTGGGTGTACCCTTACAAAAACCTTCATGTAGGCTTTACTGTTTGCCCAAATTCTATCAAATTTGGTACATTTGTGGTCCAGGAGTTGATGAAGCTAATCAATGTCATCTGGGGGCCTGGAATCATTGCCAGCATTGTGTTTTCCCCTGTCGAAAAAAGAAAACATTTTGGCGAGGGTAAAAAAACATAACTTTTCCTCTGATTCATTCCAATTTCCTCAGGCATAATGACAGACAGAACACTTCTGACACTTGGAACACATTCTCTGAAGTCTCTAGATGTCCAAGGACACCAAGAACATGCATATAACCTTTAGTAAAGTGTAGTAATTCCTCATTTACTTTGGGTATGTCTTTTAGGCGTTTTTCTTTCCTTAAAATATGCTTAGGGTAGAACGGGTTAAGTGTACCTCTTCTTTCTTGACATGTAATTCATTCTCTTTGCATTTTGTGTACATCCACCTATACCCACAGAGTTGGCCAGATGTTTGTAACTGTTCATGAATGAAATTAACAACACGATCCAAAGTGATGTATCCCTTGTGCCAGACTACAAGACTTCAAAATACGTTTTAAATGTCTTTCAGACACAACCTGACTGTGACGACTTGCAAGCAGAGCAGCAATGTCCTTATAATGAAGTCCCAGGTTAAAATATAGCCGAACTGGCTTCCGGGTTGGCTCATGGAGTAGTCACACGCACGCGAGATCGCTCTCCCAGACAAACCGCAATTTATACCCAAGAGTAATTTAAAATTCAATATTGTTTGATAAAAAACTTAGATGGATTGGGGAAGGACACGCCGAAACCAAAAAAACGACGAAAAAGAGCCTCCAAAACAGAAAAACACGACGACAACCAGAGACAGCAGCGGCAAAGTGGACCAGGACAACATGGCGCCTGCGGACATAATTAAGGCAATCAACGATCTAAAAACTGATCTAAAAGGCGACAACAACACTCTGCGACAAGAAATCACACATCTTGGACAAGAAATCAACGGTAAACTGGATATGCTGGGGGCAGAAGTCCGTAACCTATCGGACCGAGTAGAGGAGGCAGAGTCGCGGGTGGAGACGGTGGAGAGATGGGCGGCTGAATCAACTGAGGCCTTGACCTCCTGCCTGAAACAGCAAAAAGTCCTGCAGCAAAAACTAAACGATTTAGAATCACGATCGAGACGCAATAACCTCCGCATCTTCGGGGTGGCAGAAGGAGAAGAGGGGGGAAACTCGGCACAGGAGTTTGTCGAGGCGCTACTCCGGAGCAAACTACCGATCCCGGCCGACATGGAGCTAAAGATCCAGCGCGCACACCGAACCGGGGCTCAGAGGCCAGCTCCAGACAAACCCCCGAGGGCATTCATCGTCAATTTCCAGGAGTTTACGACCAAAGAATGGGTGTTAAAGGAAGCCTGGGGGAAAAACAGAACGGAAAAGATCCAGCTGAATAACAAGCCCCTCTATTTTGATCACGATTACACTGCAGAGGTGGTGAAGAAACGCAGAGAATATAACGGGATTAAAAAGGCACTGAAAGTGAAAGGAGTGCGTTTCCAAACACCTTATGTCAACATGCGCATCCACTGGGAGACGGGAGCCCGGCTATACGGCAGCGCGGAGGAGGCGAGAGAGGAGCTGAGGAGACGCGGGATCACCGTGGAGGAGGCGACGCCGACCAACGGGGAGACCGACTGGGGAGCGCGCCTGGGAGAGCTGCTGGGGTCGTGGCAGAGAGTAACGGGATCCCTCGGGTCAGAGGACGACGTGACCCGGAGAGCGCGGTATAAACTTCAGAGTTTCCAGAGTGATAACACTGCTCAGAGAGACGAACCCCAGCGCAAGGGAGGTAAAATAAAGAAGTAGAAACCATCACAGACTGGTAAAACTGCTGCCACTTTAAAACCGAAATATAAGAGCTGAACTGGACAAATATAAGGCTTCTTTCTCAAGGCTATAGGCTATTGTTAAATAAACGTCTGGGAGTGACGACCTTAAATTCAATGATTGACGTTGGACTTTAGGATGGTAGGGTTTTCTCCTTTAGATGGCCAAGCCACCCTATGTATAGGGCCCTATCTTAGGGATGGGATTTTCCCTCGACCCACCAACGGGGTCTCGGTGAGGAGTCACCTCCTCCCAGTTTGGAGGTCTGTTTTTCTACTATGTTCAGTCGACATTGTTCTGTCTTTATTTCTTTTTTGTTTTTCTGGGTTGTCTGGGGGACAACACTATTACAAAGCCATTCATTTCTTCTTATATTTGAGTGATAATGCCACATAAATTGAAAATAGCTTCACTGAATGTTAACGGCTTGAGTAATCCGGTCAAGAGGAGCAGGGTGCTGGCAAAAATGAGGAAAGATAAGTCCCAAGTAATATTTTTACAAGAGACACATATGACCAATTCAGAACACAAGAAACTAAGCAATTTTGGATACTCTAATACATATTATAGTTCATGTAAAAATAGCAGAAAGAGAGGGGTCGTGATAATGATATCTAATTCATTACATTTTGAGCCGATTAAAACAAAAAGGGATGATGAAGGTAGATATATATTAGTCAAAGGCAAGATGGATAATGTTTTGGTCACATTTGTGAATGTCTACGCTCCTCCAGAGTGTAATATATCGTTCTTTAAAAACTTATTTGACCTAATTGTACGTGAGAGTGAGGGGGTACTTGTTTGTTCGGGGGATTGGAACACTATTTTGAACTATCAGCTTGACACAACAAGCACGAGCAGACAGGGATCCCCCAAATCAAAATACCTAAATACTCTGATAAGAGAGACAGGCTTGATTGATGTATGGAGAAATATCCATGCAAGAGAAAGGGAATATACCCATTACTCAGCTACACACAAAGTACACTCTCGGCTGGACTTTTTTCTGATAAATACTATAGATAGACATAAGATAAATGAGTGCAAAATTGG